GAAGAATCTAAAATATCAAACATGTTTTGAGATATTTCACACTTTTTTGTTTACTACATAATTCCACGTGTTCATTCATTCAGTTTTGAGGCCTTTGGTGAGAATCTACAATGCAAACAGTCATCAAAATAAAGAAAAACCATTAAATCAGAAGCTGTGTCCACACTTTGACTGGTAGTGTATAATAAATATTAGCCTGTAGTCTGTATTCATTAGTGACTTGGTCTTATGAAACAGAAACATTAGGTTTTTGCTTTTAATTCAATCTGATATGTTAAATATATGCTAAAATCTGTGTTTAAAATATAAAGTATGTAATAATGTAGTAATACTAATCATCACATCAAAACATTTGCAACATAGTTTGTTTGATACATCCTGATTGCATTATTTGTAACAACCAGGACAGGAGCGAGGGAGGAGAGTAGAGGAAATTAAGAGTGCAGCAGATTGATGAGACGCCAGGTGAAGGTGAGGAAGAAGTGAGTACCCAAAAGACCAAACACAGGTAACAGTTTAAAATGGCCATTTTGGCAGAATAGAAGCAGATACGTTGAGACCAGAGCTGGTAAAGCTTAAATATGCATGTAACTACTTCATCGAGCTTTACGCTGCTGCTTAAAATAAAAAATAGTAACGAAGCTGAAGAACTCTTACTGCACTGATAGTTAATCGTAGTATCATTCTGTGACAGGCAGCTACACACATCTTACTTCAGCCTTTAGGTAGCACTCAGTGTGTATTTTTAAATATTTATTTAACTGTAAAATTGTCCCGATTCGGCTGTGGTCAGGCAGGAAGAGGACCCAAAATGCAGGACGCACAACACACAGGAATGAACTCAGAAAAACGCTGCTTTAATAACAGAACTAAACTAGACTGGGAAACCAAAACCTAAAACTCCACACCAGGGAGCACACAGCATAAGGGAGGACGCGACACTGACACAGAGAAACACAGGGCTTAAATACACTGGGGAATAAGACACAGGAGGAGAGCACAGCTGGAAGAAATCAGACACGACGAGACCAAAGGGAAGCAAAACTAGAAACACTGACATGAGACACGGACCTTCAAAGTAAAACAGGAAACACACCGGCTGAACTCTAGACACGTAAACTTAGTAGAGACTGGGGAGACAGAACATAGAGACCTGAAGTGTGGGACAGAGTTAACACCGGGAAGCCAAATAACAAAACCTAAGAATTAGAACTCAGGAAGTACTACAGAACTAAGGAGCTAGAAATACTTAGGGCAGAAACCAAAGCTCAAGCAGTCATAATCCATGATAAAATAAAAAGTAGAAGTGCAAAACTCAAAACACTGGCTCACCGACCGGGACCATGACAAAAATATAGTAAAAACTTTTAAAAAGTTGCTTTTTTTGGGGGAAAAAAAAAAGATTTCAGGGCTGGGCTAAGCCCTGATTTTTTTCACTGTCCTAACAAAGACCCAGTGTCAGAGAATTACAATCACTGTCTCAGTACAAGAAAGAAAAATAACCATAGCATCAATGTGAAGAATCAGTAAGTTCCAGGGCCATAAAACACATGTAGACTGGTTGGGCAAATTCCCATGCACCCTCAAGTATCCATGAGAGGGTGAAGCTGGTCCAGTGTTCCACGACCAGGACAAAAACCGCATTATTCCTCTTGTATTCAAGGTTCGACTAACGGATGGACTCTCCTTTCCAGCTCCCTGGCATTTCCAGGGAGGCTGAGGAGTGTGATCCTCCTATAGTTGGAACACACCCTCCAGTCCCCCTTATTAAAGATGGAAACCACCCCCCCCCGGTCTGCCAATCTAGAGGTACCACCACTGATCAAACAACATTGTAGAGGCGTGTCAACCACACAGCCCTACAACATCCAGAGCCTTCAGGAACTCTGGGTAAACCTCTTCCACCCCAGGGGGCCTACCACCAAGCAGTTCCTTAACTGCCTCAGTGACCTCACCCCCGGGGATAGACGAGCCGTCCCCGGACTTTGCTTTCGTCATGGAAGACAGTGGGATTAAGGAGTATTTTGTTTATTCCTTCCACCGCCTGACAGTGTTCTCAGTCAAAGTCAGCAGTGCTCCACCCGCACTATACACAGTGCAGGTAAAGCACCACTCTCCCCTCCTGAGTCGTCTGACGGTTTGCCAGAATCTCTTCAAGGCAATCCGAAAGTCTTTTTCCATGGCCTCTCCAAACTCC